TTAGTCGACATCATGCTCAGTCGAAACTGGGTTTTAAGGGGGCATCTTGTTGAATAGAAGTTTTCGACTGAGGAAAGGGGACACATAAATTAGCTTGTGGGCTGACAGGCTAGGAAAGGAAGTGAAGGAAACGATGTGAGTCGACGCCAGCAGGAGGAGTTTGTGAGTCGACTCAGGCCTATTTCATCGAAGGTGTCGACCGGTGGGCAAGGAAGTCGACGCGAAGTATGAAAACGTTTGAGCAGGAAGAAAATTTGAAAAGTTGAGAACGTGGGAAGTTACAAAAGTGGTGGAAGGACACATGGAGACACCAAGGCCAACATGGCAGTTATTTTATTTTCCTATTTAAGGCAATACCCATGTTCATTTTAGGGGGCGCATTTTGTAACATTGTAAGGGAAAAACACTATGAGTACTAAGCGTTAGAAGAAAAGAGTTTTCATTCCTGCAAAATGTATGATCACGTCCACATTTCCTTTTAAAAGCAATTTATTTTACCAACTTTAAGGATTTCCTGTCCTTTTTCTCGTTTATTTACTTGTCTTTTATTCAAGTTTACACATTTTTTATTCAAGATTATTTCCAATTTGTTAAAACAAACACCATTCAGCCACCGTCACATATACTCGACCAGATAGTTCTGGGACTTGTTTGGCCGCTCCCGCAAGTAAACCTGCGTCAGGAGGTCAAAGGTTGTTCACACAAAAACTGCGTGCGAACACACTCATAACCCTCCTTACCTTTTTCTTTATACCCTCCAGGTTGCTTCATCAGAATTGTTTCATTTAGATCACCATATAGAAAAGCAGTATTGACATCCATCTGTTATAACTCTAGGTTGAACCCATCCACCATAATAAAAAGCATTCTAATGGATTTTTGCTTCGCAACAGAAGAGAATACAACATTAAAGTCCACTCATTCTCTCTGAGTGAATCCCCTTGCAACCAGTAGTACATTGAATCTTTTCTACATAACACCTTAGACTCATTCCTTTACTTTGAAAATCCATTTACAACTGACTAACATGGCCCCTACAAGTTTTTTCATCAGCTTCAAGGTGTGGTTGTCATGAAGATATTTAACTCATTATCCATGACTTTCAACCATTCCTTCTTATTTTGACTCCTCATAGATTCTTTGGAATCTCTAGGTTCTTCATCAAAAACCTAACTTGCTAAAATTAAGGCCAAAGCTATGAGGTATGCATAACCAAACCTCTGAGGTTTCCTGATGACTCTTCTTGATTTGTCTCTTGCCAACAGGTAGTCATTAATAATTTCCTTATTTTCTTCAACATCCTATGATTCTTCAACAACTTCATATGGATCTTCATCATGATTGTGCACTTCATTTCCCAAGTGCTCCACCTTAACAGGAAACTCTTTTTATTCTTGCTCTTCTTCATACACCTTTGCATTTCAACCAGTGTCGTCAATTTTCTTGAACACCATCTCTACTTAATCAAAAACCACATCATGAATTATAATACACCTCATGCGATCTGGCTCTAGGAACCACAACCTATAGGATTTGACTCCCCTAGGATACCCAAGGAACATGCATCTCATAGCTCTAGGTTTGAATTTGTCTTGCCAAATGTGAGCATAAGCTACACAACCAAATACTTTAAGTTTGTCGAGATCTAGTGGATGACCCGACCAAAATTCTTCAGGTGTCTTCATCCTCAAGGAAGTTGATGGACACCTATTTATCAGATATGTTGCTGTTATGATAGCCTCAACCCAAAACACCTTATTCAATTCAACACTGACCAACATGCACCTAATCCTTTCTAGGATTGTACGGTTGAACCTCTCAGCCAGACCATTTTGCTGAAGAGTACATGCTGCAATCTTATACCTAACAATACCAAACATATCATAATGAATGTCGAATGCTTCATTGCAGAGCTCAAGGTCATTATTGGTCCTCAATCTCTTGACCTTTCCGCCACTTTGATTTTCGACCAGAGTCTTCAAACTTTTGAATTTTTCAAAAGTTTCATTCTTACTTTTCTGAGTGAATACCCATAACTTTCGTGAATAATTATCAACTATGGATATGAAATATCTTGCACCTGAGTGTGAAGTAATTCTTACAGACCCCCAAAGATAAGCATGAATGTAATTAAGATATCCACGTGTTCTTTGTTTACCTTTATTGAACTTCACTCTACAAGCTTTTCCAAATACACAAGGTTCACGTAACTCCAGTTTTTCGACCTTGTCACCACCTAACAGATTTTGTTTTCCCAATTAGATCATTCCCTTTTCATTGACATGGCCCAATCTCATGTGTCATAGCTCCGTCTTCGACACAAGCTTCGTGGATGCAAAATCTGTTGAACCACTTACAATCTCAGACTTAAGGGTACACAAGCCTTGCCTTATAATGCCTATCAAGACTTCCTTTGACCCTTTTATGACTCTCAGGATACCTTGTTCTCTTTTGAAAATGTATCCTTTCTTGTCAAATTCACCAAGAGAAATAAAATTTATCTTGAGATCAGGTACATACCTAACGCCAATCAACAACTTTATTGACTCATCATGAAGCTTGAACCTCACAGATCCAATCCATACAATCTTGCAAACTTTATTGTTTCCCAGCAACACTGTTCCACCATCTTGATCACATAACTCCTCAAACACATCTTTGTTTGGAGTCATGTGCCAAATTCAACCTCAATCCATAATCCATTCCTTGCAAGAATTATTGCTGGAAACCACCAGGACATTAAATGATTCACAATCATCTTGAGCAATGGTTGCATTGCCATTGTCCTTGCCATCGCCACAACTCTTTAACCCATAAAGACACACTTTTCTTGTATCATCTTTCTTCTTATAGTGGTAACACCTAATAGTAAGAGCATTACCACCATAAGACTTGTGATGATCTTTGCTCTTATTATTCTCAAACTTTTCTTGTATCATCTTTCTTCTTATAGTGGTAACACCTAATAGTAAGAGCATTACCACCATAAGACTTGTGATGATCTTTGCTCTTATTATTCTCAAACTTGCCATCCTTCTTCGAGAATTTTTCTTTTACGAACAATCCTTCACCAACAGATGATGACTTGTACACCTAATAATAGAAGCATAACCATCATAAGACTTGTGACGATCTTTGCTCTTATTCTTCTCAAACTTGCCATCCTTCTTCGAGAATTTTTCTTTTACGAACAATCCTTCACCAACAGATGATGACTTGTGCTCCTTTTTCGTTCAAGTCCTTTGAGTACAAGGCTGATTAAAATTCTTCAAAGGCCAGAGACCCTCTTCCATACAAGAGAGTTTATTTGTAATGAGCATGAGATATAGGTAAATCACACAACAATAAGCTTGATCTTCATCATCAATGCTAACATTAATATTCTCTAAAACACAAACCAGCTTGTTGAACATATCCAACTGCTCAGTCAAAACTTTGTCTTCACTCATCTTGAATGAATACATAACTTACTTCCAATAGAGATGATTGACCAAAGACTTGGTCATATACAAACCTTCAAGTTTCATCCACACAACTGCTACGGTTTTCTCTTCCGAGACCTACCATAAAAACTTATCTCCAAGGCTCAATTTGATGGCCATATGGGTTTTCTCAATCATTACCGTCTCCCCCATCTCTATTAAGACCACATCCATATTTTCAGATCCCTTCAGCGCTTCTAGCAGACCTTGCTGAACAATAAAGGGTTGCATCTTTAAGCTTCATAATCCGAAATCATTTCTCTGGTGAATTTCTCAATCTCATACTTTGTTGAAGGCATCTTGATCTACGCTCACTGCACCCGTTTGTTGTGATAATCGATGTCAATAACAAAGTAAAAATGTGAGAAAGATGGAGTTTTTTGATCAAACAAGAAATCGTTCAATTCAAGAAAAGAGATAGAGAAGAGAAAATAGAGTTGAATATGACGGTTATTGCATTTACTTTCTCATTGAGCGTTAAATAGTTGCAAGTGAAAATAACAACCAACCTTTCTCCTAACAAGTGAGAGAGAATCCTATTTATAGACTACTAGCATATGTATATTATGTATGAAGATAACACTTATACATGTCATACATAACTACTACATAACATAAGTTATCTTCGACTACTGCATGCTTGAACAAACTTCGACTACAATGTGTATATTCGACCCTGTCGAATCCTGAAGTTATCCTTGTCGAGACTAGAATTTAATCCAATACCACAATTTTTTATTGTATTTAATCCTAAAGTATCACGCCCATATTCTATTTAGTTAATGCATGCATGTGAAATAAAAAAGAAAAAAGAATGAACAACTTACCAACACAATAAAGAAGAGCTTTAAATAAGTGCAATGTAGTGGAGTTGAGACATTATAAGTTTCAATGCAGTGATAAAAGCTATGAGATGGCTTAAAAATGAGGAGAACATGCTTTCTAAACACAAATTAGGAGTCTCTTTTCATATTCTTTGTTTTTGTTCGTAGAAATTAAAACGTGAAGGGAGACTGAAAGAAGTAAGTTCGCTTAAATAGAAGTGTTCAGATTTTAATATCCAAATTAAACATAGACATTAGAATCCATATTATTTTGAAAATTGTGTGGTTCTGATTTTAATTTGGATGTGATACATTAGACATAGTCGAATTTTAATCTCCAAATTTTTTTAATATCAAATTTTAACCTATTTTAAAGATAGTTTGTATTTTAAAAGCCTCCGAATTTTAAAATCCAAAACAAGTGTTATTTTAAAATCCAAAATCAAGTGTTATTCTAATTATCAAATTACGAGGATAAGTGTAATGAGTAACCCAATCAATTATTATTAGCAAAGAAAGGAACAAAATCGTGTTGAATGTTAAATATTAATATAGTAATTAATATTAAACATTAATTTTAATATTATTTGCGGTGCGTTGTTTTCGTGTTACCATATTTTGAGGTCAAGAATATACAACCTTGTTTTGTTTTGTTCTCTTCAACTGAGATTGAGAATCACATTTCACAACACTCATGATGGAATCTTTAACCTCTTCTTCTTCAACAACGCTACCTTCTTTCTCCATCTTCCCTTCAACCACACCAAGAACATCCCTTTCTCCCAAGAAAACCCTCCACTTTCGTCTACCTTCCTCCAAACGTACGTATTTTCTTTTCCATCTCTATTTTTTTCCTCAATCAAGCTTCAATTTTGATTCATTTCATTATCATTTCTTCAGGTGACGATGCCAACGATTCCGACGAGATCAACGTTAACATCAACCTCCCAGTTCTCAGTAATCGCCGCTTATCAATTTCCCCTCTTTCCAATGTAACAAACCCATTTTTCCCTTTTTTTTTTTTCTGATTCTATCATATATCAATCAAATTCCTACAAAAGTTATATTTTTTTAGGGTTTTTTGGTTATAAGAATGTTCAATTGTCTCGTTCCTTTACCGATTTTTATTTATTTATGCAAATTGATTTTTTAGGTTTGTTATGAAAATAATTCAATTATATAATTCCTGTCTCAAAATTTGATCTTTAATTCATCTGCAGCTAAATTATTTGAAATTTTAGAATTTTTTTTTTTTTTCGGTTATGTATTTGCATGTAATGAATGAAAAAGGTTCTGATGTTAATTTGTGGGGTTAGGATGCGGCGATGGGGCTGGTGTTGAGTGCTGCAACTGGTAGAGGATGGACAACGGGTTCGGGGATGGAAGGGCCGCCTGTTCCTGCTGTTGGGAAGGATGATGAATTAGGGACGGGGAATATTTCAACTTTTCCGTGGTCGCTTTTCACAAAATCTCCGAGGAGGAGGATGCTTATCGCTTTTACTTGTACCATCTGCGGCCAGCGAACTACACGGGCTATTAATCCTCATGCGTATAATGATGGAACTGTTTTTGTTCAGGTAACGTTTTGTTTTTGTTCAACTAAGGTGGTTAAATTACTTATGCGAACTGCTATGGATTGCATGAGAAGGCAATTCATCTCTAAACTGAAATATCTAGCTGAAGAAAGCTGTAGGGAAAATCCTGAAAGTTAGGATGAAAAAATAAGTTGGAATGTCATGTTATATTTCTAATGGGAACTGAAGGAAAAAAAACTGACTATGCATTTGTTTTCCCATTGTTGGCAGTGCTGTGGATGCAATGCATACCATAAGCTTGTGGATCACTTGAACTTGTTTCAGGAGACAAATTGCTATCTGAATTCAAGTTTTAATTATAAAGGTCCTGGATGGGATGATCTTAAGTTCAGGTTCATGGACGTAGATAGCGACAGCGATGATGATATATTCCCGGTTACATGAGTGAATTGCCAGCTTATGGAGTATATATTTTCTGCCTCTGATCTTATGAAATTTAAGATTAGTTGTATTGTATATTGTTTATGTTTTCATGCTTAATAGTAACATTTGTCAGAGGATTGCTTTGTATAGTATATGTGTATGGATAGCATCGCAACCGAATTGTATTATCATGAATTTGATTAATGTACAATACTTTGCATAACTACTTCTTTTGCTCTATGTATAGCCTTAGCCTCGCACGCTCAACACAATCATCCATAACATATAACATACTAAAAATTACAGTGAAGAAAAAATGATTAAACAACATAAGTCTAAGGCTGTAAGAATACAAGAAGTAATATTACACGTTTTCCAGATTTCAGACACAACTAATAAGCCACATCTCCACAAAAGTAGCCAACAAGCCATGGTTATGATATCTAAAACAATGACTTATTAGATTGTGTCAGCTTTGCAATCTTTCTGCCGTGACTGATACACTTTAACATATTACAGTACTAAAATTAATTTCTACCTTAGCAGATACACTTTAAAGTATTACAGTACTACAAAAATTATACATTGTATGAGTATTACAGTACTACAAAAATTATACATTGTCATACAGTTAAAATATTCTTACACAAATGTTTGATTGAAATGTTTATACCATCTCTCCGTCCCATATGTGCATAGCTGCATGATTTGGATCCAAAATGAAAGGACCGAGGGGTCTTCTAGGAAGACACATAAATTCAGAAAGACAGTTGTAGGAAGACACATAAATTCAGGAAGACAGTTTTAGAGACAAGTGAACTCGGAAAAACAATTCCTCCCTAGTAAAATAAGTTGCAAGGGTTTAGCTTTCTTCCTACGAACGGAAACATATTGAGACACTTTAGCATGTTTCAATCTTTTCTGGTTTATCATGTCTCAATTTCTCTTGGTAGTCAGTCATCTTTTCTACAATCAAATAAGCATAACATAGAAATGTTATAACATGAAAATAGAAACAAGAGGCCATAACATGAAAATAGAAACAAGAGGCCATAACATGAAAATAGAAACAAGAGGCCAAACCAAAAATTAGATAGCAAAATAATCTAGATTCCAATCTACAGACTAAGGGTAAGTTGCAAGGGTTTAGCTTTCTTCCTACGAACGGAAACATATTGAGACACTTTACCATGTTTCAATCTTTTCTGGTTTATCATGTCTCAATTTCTCTTGGTTGTCAGTCATCTTTTCTACAATCAAATAAGCATAACATAGAAATGTTATAACATGAAAATAGAAACAAGAGGCCAAACCAAAAATTAGATAGCAAAATAATCCAGATTCCAATCTACAGACTAAGGGTTCGGATTGTACAATCCGGATTGCATGCGAACCAGAACTAGAATAAATTAGATAGCAAAATAATCCAGATTCCAATCTACAGACTGAGGGTTCGGATTGTACAATCTGGATTGCATGCGAACCAGAACTAGAATCAGAGAATAGAGCATGCGAACCCTAAGCTTTAATGTTAAAAAACTCAATGCAAGGCATTTCAACACAAACACAACAAATATTTATATTGCATTTAATCCTAAAGTATCATACCTATATACCCTAAGCTTTAATGTTAAAAAACTCAATGCAAGGCATTTCAACACAAACACAACAAATATTTATATTGCATTTAATCCTAAAGTATCATACCTATATTTTATTAGATAATATGCATGTGAAATAAAAAAGAAAAGAAAAAGAGAATGAGCAACTTACCAATGTAATAGCTTTAAATAAGTGCAATTTAGTGGAGTTCTGACATGATAAGCTTCAATGCAAATGATAGAAGCTATGTGAAGGCTTGAAAATGAGGAGAACAAGCTCTATAAACGCAAATGAGGTTGCAGAAATTAAAATGTGAAGGGAGAGGAAATGACGTGAGTTTACTTAAACATAAGTGTCTAGATTCTAATCTTCAAATTAAATCTATACTTTAGAATCTTGATCAATATGAAAATTGCGTGTTCTTAATTCTAATCGACCAGGAGTATATATGCGTATGTATAGCTTCGCAACCGAATTGTACAATCATGAATTTATCTATGTACAATACTTTGCATAACTACTTCTTTTGGTGTATATATAGCTTCACACACTTAACACAATCTTCCATAACATATAACATACTAAAAATTACAATCCTTCAGTGAGAAAAAATGATTAAACAACATAAGTCTAAGGCTCTAAGGATACAAGAAATAATATTACATGTTTTCCAGATTTCAGACACAACTAATAAGATAATGTGGCTCATAAATACATACCACATTCCCTCTTCATAATTGCAGAAAATTCTGTGATTTATCAGTTGGTTCACCTGATTACTATTTTCAAAACCAACTTAACTGAGTCATATTCCTTTTTCTGTAATTCGCCTGTGTTCTTGGCGTCTCCATGTGTCAAAGCATATTGATGTCTACCGTAGAAGTAGATTCTACACCTAAAGTATGTCTATTTTCTTGCAACTTATCTCTCACAGGTTATATACAACACTTCTGGAGAGGCAAAATGATGCATGAAATATAATGTTTGTTGCTTCTGCGCATAAATAGTAGGCAGACTTTTCCCCCACCTCAGACCAAGGTGTCTGTGCAACGGTTACTACTAACTATGTCACCAACAATAAGGGGCGCAGCGCGAATCATAAGACTAAGAAAAAATGCTGTCATCTGCAATACAATGTAATATGTTAACTTCATGACCGAGGAAAATCGGAAGAACTAATTGATAAGTGATGAATAATAATTGATAAGTGATGAAGGGTAATCATACCAGTATTAGCCCAAGGCACATTAGGCTGAATCCAGGAAAATTAAATGGTGCGTCTTCTGACAGAAACATGGCTGCATACGGTAGAAGCTTATCAGTTTCTGATTTTTCTCTTAATTCAATAGTTAACATATATGTCTGAAGACTTTGCTCCTAATTGTAGTCTTACCTGTCAGTGGACTGAAAATTAACGGAGAAATGATGTTGGCGATGGAAGTGATTCCTGAGAGACATCCTTGAACCATTCCCTAAATCAAAGACTCAACTTCTAAGCATATAGATATGAAGTTGAGCAGAGTTTTCAAATTTGTTCATAGCATTTACAATAATAGAAGGAATCAATTGTCTTTTTTCCCGTCATTCAGATACCTGTTCATTTGGTCCAACTTGTTTCGATGCAATGCTTGTTAGCTGTTCCAAAGTATTGAAACAAAAACAAATATGAATATATGATAGAAAGAGTGGTAATAACAGATGTAAATCAGAAACTTACAGTTGGTCGCACGAGAACGCCTAAAACAGAAAAACCTGCTAGAGCATAAGGAACCTGCATTGCTTTCAATTTCAACACTTTTGAAGGATTGTTTTGCAAAATAAAATAAACTTTAGTAAATAAGAATGTTTTCAAAAATAATTACCCATGACGACCATGCTACACTGTATACGAATATCTGCATAACATAACAAACTATTAGCAGCATGTTTCAAAAAAGAAATCGAGGGAACTGTCACATATCAGGCTTGAACTTACATTTATGCAGGAAACAAAGAGCCCTGTTGAGAGCAACTTCTCCTCTCCTACAGCAGGTACTAATATCGGCATGAGAAATAGCTGGAAAAGAATCGCAAGTAAACACAACCAACGACATGTTAGTTAGTATACGGAAACAGAAAATATAGTGAATTCAACTAGGATTATGATATACTTGTGTTAGAGTAGCTCCGATCCCAGAGATCATCATCAAATCGGCAAACTGATTCTTGTTGAATTGAAATCGCGCCTTCAAATAATACTGCATGTTTACAGAATTTTGGTTTATGATTATTCAATATCTATAGAAAGTTACTTGTTTGAAATTTGCGGTATCTCATGAATCGATTGTATTCGGGAAGAAAGTAGTAAAAGTTTACCAGCAATACTGCCATCAAACCACCGTCTGCGAGACTATTGAAGAGCAAAACAATTGCTGCTTGTGAGAATGTAGGGCTACAAAAGTGAAAGCTTATAAGATCAACAAATCTATCAAATGAAGCGATTATAAAGTGATTTTTCCAAAAATGGATTAATGTCCTCAATCTGCACTGACCTACACTTGAGCAAACAAATTACATCCCCCATTGAAGGTAGTTTCTTAAATGTTTTTTGTGGCATATCATCCTCACACTGTTGAATGCATGGTTCCTCTGCCTCTTTCAATAATGGTTGAGTCATAGGTGCACTTTCCTTGAGGAAAATTCTCATGTACACCAATGCAATCATTGAGAACACTGAAGCAACCTGTATAAACCAATCACAAATTCAGAAGAAAAAAAAAGTGTATTCTAACAAGGATTAAAATAAAGGTCCGCCATTGCAATCTGGGCCCACAGCATATCAGTTTTTTTTATGTTATTGAAACCCTATGTAACATCGACACCTCTAAAAAAAAGGTCTGTCCGTGTCGGTATCGGACACCTGCACTGAGACTTGAGATTACGTTTAATTTATTCATTTTTTCAAATTATTAACGGTGTCGCCGTGTCAGTGTTGGGGTCGTTTTTGGGGTATTTGTGCTTTATAGTTGAAACCATAATGAGGCCACAACACTTGATCATGATTCTCTGCATTATCAAGGATCACGACTCTTAATAACAATGTCATTGGCCACAATTGAGGTCGCATAAGTTGCATTTGACCACGATTCTCTGCATTATTAAGGATCGCGACTCAGTCCCCATGTCACCTTGACCAGTTTTTTGAAACCCTGATTCTGAGTAGCACACTAACAAATTCAAGTATTCTTTTTCCTAAAACTAAGGGCTGCAAAACAGATCCGGTCTGCTAAACTTGTCCGTGTTGTCCGCATTTTTTCGTGAGACATGCCAAGATTTTAGGCCTTCACCCTCTAATATACCCGTTCCGTCCCATTTTTTGCGGGCGTTTGCAGACGAGGGTGTTAACAACTTTTACAACTTTTGGTTTTTAGAGATGCAAGACAAGTATGTCCGCGCCACACTCATTTTTTCATCGAACAAATCAAAATTAAGTCTGGTCTATTTATTTTCAAGCTTTTGCAGGGTAGACTTAAAACATTGTTGATGTGTGTATAGGCAGGAAATTTGATTTTACTATGTAACCTGAAATGTCAAAGGCGTGGATAGAAATCTAGCAGCTAATGTTCCACCAACAAAAGACGCAGATCCAACACCAGCAAGTATTCCAAATGCCGATGCTCTTTTCCCAACTGGAACTTTGTCTGCCTAACAAGTAAATCAAAATAAAAGCACATGTTAATTTTTTTGTATCAATTGAATATTACTATTATCTAAGAAACATTATGTAAATTAAATGTGTCTGTGTGAATTGAATAGGTTAATGAGATTGTAAAGTACCACATAAGCAAGAGCTAGGCAATGAAAGCTGCCTTCACCAGCAATGGCAGCAAGAGTTTTGACCACATAGTATGCATAGTAGAATTTTGTATCCCTGCTATATGCCAATATAGCTGCATATATATATATACAAGACATTATTTTTTTTGGGACTTAATTAGTATGTAGCCAGTTAATTAAACTTGGTTTAACCCATTCAAATAATTCAAAAAAATAATGACAAAACCATCCATAATTACTTTTCTCTTCTAAGTGATGTTAAAGTTCTTTTTGGAAGAAAAAAAATTGATAGTTTATAGTAACTTGTATGTTATTTGATGTATACTAACTTATAACTAACTGGTTGAATTTTTATTGAATTTGTACTGGTTAGTAAAAATAACTGTTTATAGTGAATGAAGTTATAGCTTATAATTTGTACTCTCTTGAACACCAAAACTTTAACATAGTGAAGTATTTGTATCAAGTACGCACTCATACCGTATTAATGGTATATTATGTTTTTTTTATTATTTAGTTTTTAATAAAATTTGTGAATTTTCAAATATTAATATAATATATTTATATATTTTAACTTTTTATTATTTTACAATTTTATATTTTAAAATTTTATAGTGATATTTTGATGAGAACCTAACCACTTAATATTACTACCAGTGGATTAAAGTTTTTAAATTTAAATAGGTATTAATTTGTAAGTGGTGTGTGATTCCCCATTAAAAGCAGATGGACCACTCACTAAACACAATTGTGGAATGTGGTAGGGCATACAAGTCATAAGAAACCAATTAATGTAAGTATTTCAATTAACAAATTAAGCTCATAAGATCGAAAATAAGATGAATTGAATCTTAAGAGCATCTTCAACCGTGAACTCATTTTTGGGTTCTTTGTGGGACCTATTAAGCCACGTCAGCTTGAAGCAACTCAACTAATTTTTCACTTCAATTGTGCAATTCTGAAGAACTCATATTGGGTCCCACAAGTTTACTTTATATGTTAATATTTTATTCATATTAAATTTTATATCACTTAAAATAATAATTTTAATTTTTTTACAGAAAATTATTTCAATCTACTATATAGTCCAACCGGTATATAGTGTTGTTTTAAGAAAAAATATTTCATTCTACTATATAAACTTAAAAAAAATTAGATTAAATTTTAAAAAATATTTCAATCTCTCCTTAGTTAATTTTAGTGTTTTAAATTAAATTTGATATAAAATAAAAATAAAATTTAAATTAAAAATTAAAATAAATAAAATTCAAATTAAACTTATAATTTAAATTTATAATTAAAATATAGTTTTCATATTATAAAATAAATATTTTAATATTGTAATTATAATTTTTATATAATAATTTAAATAATAAATAAAATTTTATATTAAATTATAATTTTTATATTATAAAATTAATATTTTAATATAAGAACAGTTAAAGAACCGTTGCTTAATTAAGCACCGTTCAACAACATGGCAATCTTGAAAACAACAAATATGAGTGTCATGTTGGCAAATCCACACTAAAAACTCCCATTGAAGTTGGTCTAAGAAGAGTTGGAGTGATAATTTAAAAAATCTATAATTAATTAAATTATGATAAAGTAGATGTATATAGTACCTTGAGGAATGAGAGATACTGTGAGAGGAAGTGTGATCAAAGCTTTTCTGCCATACCGGTCAGACAAATTCCCAATTAATGGTGTTGTCAACACTGACCCTACTCCAATCATCTGCACCACAATATATATAAAAAAGATTAAGTAATATCGTGAAAATTTAGCTAAACAATATTCATTATTAATATTTAATTGGACAATAAGATTTTGTATATTCTCTATCTAATGTTGAAAAGACAAGATATCATAACATGTCATAATTTAATGATTTATTTATTTTTTATTTAAAAACAGCGTAAAACTTTTATGATAAATTAATTTGATCTACTATTTATATATACAAATTCAATTGTATAAACTCCCTAAATTACCCTTTCATCATAAAATATTTACACTATCAGAAGAACATTTTAGTAATAAACTAATATTTACTTTTTTTTTCATTCTCATCTATTATTACAACATGACAAGTGGCACTCATTTTCTCTTTTTATTTAAATTTTAAATTTTTTTCACATTCTTTTTTCCCACACTTTTTCTCTTTCATTTTAATTTTTTTCTATCTATTTATTATCACTAAAAATGCTATTAATTAATTTTTTAAATTTTAATAAAATTAAAAATTTATTTATCTCACGGGTCACTTTCAACACATTTATTTTATTTTAATCAACAATTATTTTTACTTTTTTTTCTTCTTTTGATACAATTAAATTTATATGATTATTGTTTATTTTACAATTAAGAAAATCATTCTAAATTTTGCATTTGTATCTAAATATATTTTATATCATATCAATTTTTTTTTATTTCACGGGTTATTATCGGTACAATTTCTATTTTATTTTTATCAACAATTTATCTTGATTTGAAAGACAAAATCTTTATTTCAAAATAACTTTCTTCATCTCACGAGTCATTTTTTCTTTTTGAATAATTATTTGATACAATTGAATTTATATAAATATTTTTCATTTTAAAATTAAGTAACTAATTTCAAATTTAAATATTTATATAAATACATTTACATTGTATTAAATAAACTTTCTATTTCACGGGCCACTTTTAGCCCAATACATATTTTATATTAATCAATAATTACTTTAATTTAAAAGGTAAAATTCTTATTTTTAAATATTAATTTTTTTTTTATTTTTCGAATTCTTTTTTTTTATATTTTAATAAAATTGAATTTATATAATTATTGCTAATTTCAAATTTAAATATGTATTTATTAAGAAATGAAAGTTTCCAGTAATAATTAATGAGTGCATGAACCGTTTTGCCTCCACCGAATGAACAGTTATTTTTTTATTTCAGAAGAAGAAGAGCATTCTAATTTCTACAGAGAAATTATGAAAATTGAAAATTGAGAAGAAATGAAAACTGAAACTCACAGCATGTTGAAAACCAGTGAGATAAATTGCCAGAGAGCATTGGTCTTGACCGGGGCAAATTGCCGCCATGGTGACGTCGGTGATGGCCGGAATAACAATAACCCCGCCGAAACCAGCGAGAAACATTGTGACAAATAGATGAGTAAGCCCCGTTAATCCCTCCATAGATATAATGAAAACCTAAATTGGAAGATGAAGGAGTGGAGAACTAGTTGGAGAATGCATGCTCTATATATTTCGTTCGATTGCTTCTATAATTAAACTCATCCATGGGGTCGGCGTGGGCCAGAACCTCTCTCTTTTAACATCATTAACTATTTTATTATGAGAAAAAAAAAATAAACTTGTAAAATATTTTTATACCATGCATCAGAATAAATTTTAATTTTATTTTTAAAAACTGAAATCACAGGATAAATATAAGAGTTTTGAAATGACATGATAAATATAAGAGTTTTCATTGAGTGTATGTGTAAAATACATTATCTTTAAACTTTTTTTTATTTACAAGTTTGTTTTTTTTCTTTAAAAAGAAGTTAGTTTATGTTTTGATAATAATATTATTTATTGTTTTTTTTATATATTGTTTGATGCAAGACTTTTAATAATTTTAATTAAATTATAATTATACTTTAGTTTTTGTATTAGGGTTTAAGTATTTGATATTATTTGTTATTCCATTTATTTATTTCTAAATTTTTTTTAATACATATTGTATAGATCTCCCTGGTTTTATAGTGTGAGTGGTGATATGAGTGAAGAAAAGAAAGAGATAAAGAGAAAGAAGAAAATATAAAGAGAAGATTCGAAATGTTACTAAAGAAAGCAAAAGAAGCTAAGGAAGCGTGAGTTGGAAGGTTCTGTTTGGATTTACCTTATTGGGAGGTTACTTTGGCGTGCAGAATGCAAAGGCAATGTGGGTGGTGGTGGGGAACAAACACTATCTTTCATTCTATTGCTTTTTCAATATGTGACCTTCCTACATACGTTAAGTTTTGCCCCCATTTTCAACACATAAAATATCTATCTAGTGGATTCCTTCCACTAGTGATGCCAAACACATTTCTATATTATATGTGAACAAATCTTACAATTTTAATTCGAATGTTATTTTGTTTTTCTTAGAATACTCACCTTTTTTTAGAAGTGGCATTTTTTAATTTTTTAAAGGTAATAATTAATTATGTTGATTAAAGTGATAAATTGATTTTTATATAGGTAATGAAGTTGTTAGATGAGTTGAAATTGTTGATTTTTAGCTCCATTTCTACGTGGAGGAAACGTTAATTAGGGAATTTGTGTCTCACTTATTTTAAATTGGAGAGTTATTTTAGTATTGAGAGAAAAAAAAGAAGGTAGAAAAATTAGTTTCAAAAGAAATAAAAGAAGAGAGAAATCAATTCTCGCTTTCTTGCAAACAGTCTTAGTAAAACAACAATTTCGAATCCGTTAATCGTCGAGTTGAGTTCATTTTTGAAGGGCACGTGTGTATTTGTTAATTGCATCACACGTGTATACTTTTCGATTGTTCGTATCTTTAAAGTAGAGTCTGAGCTGAGAGATATTGGCTTTGTCCCAAAATTGCAATTTTGACTATTTTTCAGCTTCTTGTTTCTTATTTGTAAGCTAGTTTGCTTGTTGTTAGCACTAGTTTGTGCATCACTTTGAGATTCTTTTCTACTTTTATTTGATTATATTGGAGCTATTTCCTTGGTCTAGACGACCCATGGTTTTTCACTCTCACATTGAGGGTTTTCCACGTTAAAATATTAGTGTTTTCTTATGCCTTTATTTGTTATATTTGTTGTCATATATTTGTTTTTGATCTTTATAGGCTCTTACAAGTTTGAAGAATTTTATTTCTGCTATGTATTAGTTTGTTACTGCATGTTAATTTTCCATTATAGTGACATCAGAACTCTTGGTTAAAGGCTATTTTACTTGTTTGAATAATGGAGTCAAATACAAATATGACGATGGTATTGTTGAATAGTTCTAATTAACATTTGTGGAAGGTCAAGATGAAAGACTTATTATTTGTGAATAAATTGCATTTGTCGGTTTTTTGTTTCACAAAATCAAATTTTGTGTCTAATGAAGAATGAGAGTTTGCTCATCTACATGAATGTGTTTCATTCGAAAGTATGTATAAGACAGTTTATAATCATATTGATAAGGCGCATGCAAAAACTTTGTGCGAGAAGATAGAGTCCTTGTACGCCTCTAAGTAAAGAAATAATAAATTGTTTTTGTTGAATAGTTTCATAAATTTGAAGTATAAAGGGGATTTCTATTTCATATTACTTTAGTGAATTCCAAGGGTTTCTTGATCATATGTCATGAATGAATATCAAATTTGATGATTAAATTTTAAGACTATTTCTATTGCTATCTTTACTAGAGTCTTTGGGATACGTATCATGTTTCTATCACAAGATCTACTCCTGGAGGTGTTGTTTTTTTGGAAAAGACTAAGGGTGGTATTCTTAACAAGTAGATGTGAATGATGGCACAAGATTATTTTTTTGGAAAAGACTTCTGGAGTTCCAATAACTAGGTTTGTGTAGACGACTTTTGTCGATCCACACTAAAACCTTCCGCGTGCACTCTTTTTCAAACAACTTTAAAATCCAAATTTTATTTGGTAATTTTTTTTTGGATTGGTGGTCTATTCACCCCCCTCTAGACAAGTCGCCGTCGTCTAACACAGAGATCCAACATTTTGGTTTCCTCATAGGCCGACAAGGATTCCACTTAGGGATCTAACATTTGGATCGTATTATAGGGCAACAAGAATACCACTAAGGGATCCAACATTTTGATCGCCTCATAGGGAGGCAAGGAACCCACTTAGGGATCCAACATTTTGGTTGCCTTGTAGGGCGACAAAGATCCTACTTAGGGATTCAATGTTTTAATTACCTCAATGGGTAGCAAGGATCCTACTTAGGAATCAAACATTTTGATTGCCTAAATAGAAGGAAAATATCCTACTTAGGAACCCATCATTTTGATCACCTCACAGGGCGACAAGGATCTTACTTAGTGATTAATCATTTTGATCACCTTACAGGGCGACAAGGATATCACTTAGGGATCTAACATTTTGATCACCTCAAGCTTTAGAGTTTCTTGCAAAAATAGGGATAACCAACTGATAACGTGAAATCATATCGTTTATTTGGCTTAATTTACATGCATTTGTTTGTGACTATTATTAATTTATCTTGATTTATGTTCTATTATATGATCAATTTACTTCGTTTTGCAGATTGGGGAGAATTTGGATTAAAGAAAGAAAAGAAGAAGAAATGGAAGGAAAAGAGAGAAGAAAAACAGAAAAAATGGATTTTTCTGATGTGACGGTCGTCACAGGTCCATTACGACCGTCATGCGTATGACGACCGTCACATTTCATGACGACCGTCACACAACCACGATATCAGTATGTTCAAATCAGATGTAGCCACGATCAATCTCAACCTAATTTCTTCCTACACTTTCTCCACTCACTGCCCACTACTGGAAGTTACTCCCACTCCCTCCATAACTCACCCATGATCTCTGGAAGTTGAAGAGTGAATTATCTCCTATAAATAGGCCTTAGATTCACAGCTTTAGGGGGAACCTTCGATGTATCGAAGTACTGCCAAAATTCCCATTGAAGCCAATTTTACTTTCCTGCATTATTTTCCATTTCTTTTCCTTTTTCATTTGTATCGCTTTATTTGTTCCTGTACCTTTTAATTCTCGCCAAAGTAGAATCCTGCCGACATTGTGGAGGACTACTCAAAGATTCGAGATCAGTACGATTTACAGGTTTTTATTAATTGAATTATTATTTTATTTCTGTCAGTATGCATGTTATATTATTCTGCTGCCATTGTTTATTTATGTTTGCATTAATTATCATGTCTAGCTAAATTAGTTTTATCGGTATGTAACCGAATTAGTAGGACAGGATTCGATAGTAAATGACACCTTTCCTTTTTACAAACAACCTTTCTGGCCGTAGTTTTTAATCTAAACTCTAAATAAACCTTTGTCACGACAGTGAGAAGCTATTTACGGTGGTTTTGCCACGACAGTGGGAAACCATATTAAGGTACGAACCAACAAGCGACAGCTGAGGCTAGAACCAGATAGTAAAAACTAGGCATTGATTTTAGACACAGCGAAAGCGCTTTAAAAGAAATTAGAATCTATTTGTTTACAAAAAGTAGTTTTAACCCCGAATGGGACAGCGAAAGCGTACATTCGGCCCTTAGAATTATGACCCGAGTCAACAACCATCGTGAGGCGAAGGTCTTTAAACGAGTAAGTTCTCCTGAAAAGTGTTTGCAATAGACAAAAAGGCACCGGTAACCTGCCGAATTCCCGATAGCTAAAGCATTACATACCGATATTCCTTTACCGCATTTCTTTAAACCAAAAATCTTTATTTCTTGTGCATTTAATTTCATCCGCATTTAACTTTCCAAATTCCATTAGCCTTAGCTTTACGCCGTAGCGATAGATAACGGTAGATTGACATTGGTCTCTGTGGGTTCGACAATCTTTTATATTACTTCGATATTTCCGTGCACTTGCGGACGCATCACCAACAAATGCAGATTCTCTAAAATAATAAAATGAGGAGCCTCATTAAAAATCATAGCCTTATGTAAAGTGCAGAGGGAAAAGAGTGCACCCCGTAAAATAGGTTGTCTTTACATAGCTAAATAGTAGTAAAGAAAAACAAATAAACGACGACAACACAGGTGACTCCAAAGGCAGAGGTGTAGTACTCACTTATAAAAATCAACAACAAAATAGCTAAATAGTAGTAAAGAAAAACAAATAAACGACAATAATGCAGGTGACTCCAAAGGGAATTCCTTCTAGGCCTTTAATCTTAAATCTCCTCACTGGTTGGAAGGGGAGCTTCTTCGCCCTTGTAGGTTTCTCCTAAAGGCTTTATTCTTAAGCTCACTTTCTTGGATTTCGTGCATAGAGTGCAAACATCCTTTTCAACTAGAGGCTCTCTGCATAACATTTTCTAGTGATATCTTGATTTCCTTGGATAACCCTCACTCGCCCATCGAAAAGTGGTAACTTCATGCATAAATACAAAGTTGACAAGGTGGCTCCTATCTGGTTAAAAGTTGGTTGCCATATAATCATAT